TAATGCAAGAAGTAAAAAGACAATTGGACGTATCTGTACATTTTGGAATGACAAAGTGAACTCTTTTCTCTTTAGTGCGGTACTCAGAGTGTTTTTCTTCCAATACTGGCAAAAGACGCCCTCATTTCCCAGAAAAACCATGCTTTATATAGAGATATAAAATAACTGTCAAAAGGCTTTAGGATGCGCCATGTGTCATCCCATGTCTCTGGAAAACTGCCTCCACGTTTCTCTTTTCAAAATAATTTCCCGCTAGGCACTAACTTCTCCCGTCAAGAACACCCTGGTTGGTTTTCTTCCTTGGGTTGATCGACAAGGGGACCCGTCGACCAAGCCACCTTATGGTGTCGATCCATGGCGTAATGCTGCCAAGTTTGTTGTTGTCGACCCTTGGCTTTTATGCAAGGAGTTGGTCGATCTTCACTCTTTCTTCACCTAGCTTCTGTCGAGGTCGCTGTTCCTAGTTGGCTAATTTTCATCCAACACTGTGTTAAACCAATTCCCACTCTTTTAACACCATTCAAGTATTTTAACTACTTTTAATGGTCACCAAGAACTGATTAACCACGTCGAGGTCTTTGAAATTGACCATGCCACGATAGCACACTCTGTAGTACTTTCCACATGTAGTGTCCAAGTCGACATTGCTTCCATTGTAATGATGAACTCCAACCTTAGCCAACATAGCATAATACTCAATTTCACAAGTCCCTAAACTTCTCACAATGTACTTTGACTCTACCATCTTCGACCAATATCACTCTGTGTGACTTCCGACCTTGAGTCAACTTTATTATCATGTGACTCTATTCTGTCTTGACTTTCCACGTGGCGTATTCGTTAATACTTGTCCCTTATAGTAGTAAAAAAATCCAAGGTAACAGGTAGATGATGAGATTTTGGGAACCCGGTCTAATCGCAGAGGACAAGATGAGACTTGCATGCCAAAATATGGGATCGTTATCATACTAACAAGTGACTATTATAATGAGCGATAAGTACACCCGTAGTCAGTTTGATGTATATGGGCTCCCCATGTATGAATGTTTGTTTTTTCAACGTAGGTTCCACTTCCCTTCTAAGGATTTAAAATTGGTGTTCTCAATCATCTGGAACTTTTCCCCACACAATTGCATCCAATGAGTTAGGAATATGTAAAGGCTTTCCATAACTAGTGTGAGCACAAGAAGGGCTCCCTCATGGTGGTTATGTTCTTTCACTTATTCCATGTAATGAGGATGTTTTTTAACCCTTGGCCAACCTCAAGGTTTATCTATCTAAAGCACGGTCTTAACTCTTTGAAGTGTATATGAACTCCTTTTATAATTTTAAGGATAAGTTATACGTTTTCCCCCTTAACCTTGATGCACCAGACATTTTTTGAGATTTCGGCAGGGGGCGTTTGTGAATGAAGGAGATAGGTAGTATGATTTTGAGAAACATGAAGGTAGCTCTGAGACCATTATCTCTGATGATGAAGACCTGGACTTCAATGGTTTAACTGGTTTAAAGGATGTAGAACTTTGAGATCTCGATGGAGCACTTTGTCTTACACCCTACCGCGGCTTGTTTGAATACTTGCTTCAATGGTTAGTAAGTACGTAAAACTATTGAATGAATTAGAAAATAGTGTCGTAATTTCAATGAAGCTACTGGAAAAGAAAGGGAAATGTTCTCATTCTTCTAGTATTGTTATGCCTCAATATATAACACATTATAAACCAAGTTATGTATATGTAAGAAAACACAGACAACAGGTTCCCACACCTCTTCCTGACATTGAACCGCCACTACAAGAAAAACTAAAATCAGCTGGGTAATTTTGCTGGGTGAATTTTACCTCGCAAAAAATGATGGTTGCTGAATGATACTCACATCGCAAGCCATTTATCCGAATAATATATATATATATATATATATATATATATATATATATATATATATATATATATATATATATCACCTCGTAAGTCATCTGGAGGGAAATGAATTTTTAAAACAATGTTTGAGAGGTGTTATTCACCTCGCAAGATATTTTTCAAAATTCAAATTTTGAACGTTATGGCAAGTCAATTCAATGCAGAGTTTGGCAGAGTTGTGTCAGAAGGTTGCGGCGTGGAAATTACTCAGCAATGGTCACATGATTTGCACATGTTATCCACCCAGCAACAACTAACATTGCGACCTGCATATCACTTAGCAATGTTCACATGCATTATGGAGTGTTAAACACCCAACAAACTGACATGCATAGACTTCAAGAAACACTACAACAGTCATTAAGGCAAGGCAACATATTTATTAATCTTTCCCTTTCTTCTGCTTCCTCACAACCGATTTCATCCTCTCACCCTTCTTCTTCTTCTTCATCCATATATCACACAAATTTTTTACAGAAGCTCACAAAATTTTTCATCTCTTAGTCTAAAATTCTATCATCTTCTCCATTCCAATATCAAATTTTTGATTTACGATTCAGTGTTATTATAAGGTACACAATTCATTTTCAATTTTTTTTTAATAATATTTGGTTGTTCTAATTTAAATGTCTGTTGATATTTCTATCATTGTTTATGTTGTTTTAAATTTTATTTTTGTAGATATTTTTTATGAGGGTATTCATTTTGTTTTGATATTATAATGTCTTGTGATTTATTATTATTACTTTTTTGATAATCAAATATATTAACACAAATAGAATACAAGTAGTATTCTAAACAGATAGATACAAAAAGGGATGCAAAACATCAAACCCAACTACTAACTCACTTTACAAAAAATTGAGGAAAAAATTAAACCATTCGTAAAAATTACACGAAATTTTTTGTTTGGAGTTAATAGCTAACCACCACCTAAACGTAAAAATAATTTTATGGAACAATTTCTATGAACATCAAAAATTGTCGTTAAACAAAATTTGATTACGTTGCCACCAAATGCACCAAACTATACAAAACCAAAAAAGGCAAGCATTACCGTTCGATGAAAATTCAACCACCTTCAAGAACCATTCCATCAAATGGTTCCTAACAAGTTACCGAATTTGATAACGACACTTCAATCCAATTTAGAACATACCTCCATACTAGAGGAATCTTAGGACACACAACGGACAAGTGGTATAAGGATTCAACACTGATAAAACAAAAGGCGCAAACTAGATCATGGGGGTTATAAATTATTCTCCTGGCCGCTAGGTTCAAACGAGTCAAAAGCCTATTTAAAATCAACCTCAACCCGGAGATCTTAGTTTTCATAGGAATGTTAGAATACCAAACAAGATAAAAAACCGTTTTGGGAATAATATCTAAGTCGTCAATATCACAAGCCTTTTGTATAAACGCATACCTCAATTTGACGGAGAATGGATTAAACGGAGCCTTGGACCAAGAAAACAAATCATCTTCCCCCATCATTGGCACGATATCCTCCAGCAATGATAGAAGCTCTAATGCTATCCCGCGCAATTCTGCACTAAAATCCTCTTCTTGTAAATCCAAACTCCACGTCCAAGTCAACCCTAACCAATTATCCATGTCAAAAACATCGGTAGTTTTGTTGATAGAGAGTTGGTATAAGCCTCGAAATGACCTGCTAAGCAGTGTCGTCTCAATCCAACACGAATGCCAAAAGAAAATACGAGTATCAGTCTCTAATTACACGAAGCTGAAGCGAAAATCCATCCTCATACAAAGAAACAGTCATGTTACTTTTAGATAGTATGTTAGGGTATTAATTTTGTTTTATTTTTATAATGTTAAAAAATTAAAACATTGTATATATTTTTAACAGTATATATTAAAATAGTATGTATATTAGGATTTTAGTTTATATTAATTATGTAGATATGTTAAAAAGTATTAATTTTTTTTTAATAAAACTGAATAAAAAGAATTATATTTAAAACAAAATAAAAATTAATATATACGTATTTTTTAGTTTTTTAATTAACTTTTTATATTAAAAAAAATATATTTTTTTGGTTTCTTAATTTATTTTTTATATTAACACAGAATAAAAATTTAAAATAAAACTATTCATTATTTTGTTGTATACTTAAATTAAGTAAATTAGTTTTTTATTTTTCTATAATAAATTATATAAAACTGGATGAAAGGACAAATTTATTTTATATTATTTACTTTTTTTAATAAAACATAATAAAATTTTTTAATTATAAATATTTTTAATTAAATTATATATATATATATATATATATATATATATATATATATATATATATATATATATATATATATATATATATATATATATATATATATATATATATATATATATATATATATATATATATATATATATATATATATATATATATATATATATATATATATGCGCGCGTGTGTTTGTTAGTGTTCAAATAATTAAGAGTAGTCTATATAATTTTTACAAATAAATATACACATAATTATAATTCAGTTTTTTAATAATAATAATTTATTAATTACTTTTGATTCTCCCTCTCATTTCTTCTCCACTCATTATGTCTCATGCACTAATAAAAAAATGATCAAATATTAAAATAATACTAAACTTATAAAATATTTAATTTAATTTTTAATTTTAGTTGCTATGAAAAAAATATATATTTTTAAAAATATTATAAATTATGCGGGCAGATGTAGAACAGAATATTTGTTTCTTGTTAGGGTCCGCAATTATTATACTTAGTCGAATTTAGAGATAAGGGTGAGACTAATACAAAGATGTGGCGCTGGTAATGTTTTAAACTCGTACTTATTGATTTTTCTTAAAGGACTTTCGAAACATTAGTCAATGGATGATAAAATTTGTGTGCCACAGATTATGATGTTGGCAATAATTAAGTCTTGAATTAAATATTATTACAATTAGATAGATAAACAGATTAAAATCAGCCTCATTTTCTTGCTGGTACAAGGGATTATCCACATAAATCCATCTATATATTCATTTCATCTACATGAACACTCACATTTTCTCATAGCATTACTAACACAATGAAGCCATATTTATTTCAATTTCTCTTATTCCTTCTCCTTTTCATTCTCAACCCATCAACCCTTTCAGCTATTCGAGTCCCTCCTTCTTTAACAAAACAAATAATAACAAAGTTCAAGGACCAACTGAATCACTATATATGGAAGAAGACGTTAGACAAGTTCAAAAAGTTACCTCCACCAAATGCACAGTCAGCCAAAGAGATCAAGGACCTATCTGAAATCAAACAGTATTTCTCTGATTTCGGTTACCTCCAACAATCGGCTCCATTCAATGACACTCTAGACGATGTAACAATTTCAGCTCTTAAGACCTACCAGAAATATTTCAATCTCCAAATTACTGGTGATTTAAACAACGAGACTTTACAACAAATCTTGTTACCAAGATGTGGTGTCCCTGACATGAATTTCGAGTATGGTTTTACAGAGACACTTAATGTGTCTTGGCCGAACGGAAACAGCTGGTTTCCTTTCGGCACTAGAAACCTTACATATGGATTTGCTCCAGAGAATGAAATCCCATTAAACTTTACACAAGTCTTGAAAAATGCATTAACGCGATGGTCACAGACAACAAACGTTTTGAGTTTCACTGAGACAACTTACGATGTTGCAAACATTAAGATTGGTTTCTACATTTACGATGATAGGGTTGAAGATGTTGTGATAGGAGACTCTTTTATAAACAAGCAACTCAATTCTAATGTATCGTCAGGTGTGATACAACTGGACGCTTCAAAATACTGGGTGTTGCCAACTGACAACTTCGCTTGGTCTTGGAAGGATGGAGAAATTGATTTGGAGACTGCAGTGATGCATCAAATAGGTCATCTGCTTGGACTTAATCACTCTTCTGACAAGGAGTCAATTATGTATCCAACAATATTGCCATCACAACAAAGGAAGGTTGAGATAACAGTTTCAGATGGCCAAGCCATCCAACAACTATATTCTACTAAAGACAACAACACAAGTTCCGGTAACGTTGGACGCTTCAACAACACAAGTTCCGGTAACGTTGGACGCTTTACAATGTTTGAGTCTAGTTACGGTTTTGTAATATCTTTGTCCCTTGGGGTTTTCTTTCATGGTTGTGCTGAACTAGCTTATGAATTTGTAATTTGTATCCTTTAGTTGGGGAATGAATAATTTGTTTGTGTAATATTATAATTTGCTGTAATAACTTGTTTGTGTAATATTATAGTTTGCTGTAATAATTTGTTTGTGTAATAATATAATACCTTTATGAATAATTTGTTCCGGTAAGGTAAGGTTGGAAACACATATTTGTTTGTGAAATATTGCTTCCGTGTAATTTTCAGTTAACTTATAATAAGGTTTTTTTTTTCTTCCATTATTTGTCATTGGTTTGGATTTTAAGAGCATCTCTAATGCAAACTCTACTTAAGAGTTAAGAGTTATTATGTGGGTTTGACAAAACCATGTCATCTTAATTAAAATGTTTTTTTTTTTCATTTATTTAAGTCCCACTAGCCAATTTCTATATTGTATTTAAATGTAGTTTCTTATTTTTTTATGTGATGTGGGTATTTCCTTTGAAAAAGTAATTTCTGAATTTTGTTTTGTAAATGCGGGTTTTATGTGAATTGACAGTGGAACAAATTTCATATCAACTGAGCTAATTTTTTTAGATGGTTATTTTTAATTACTATTTTATAAAAACACACTGAATTGGTGATAGGTTGGAAACTATAAGCATGATGAAGAAGTTTTTAGAGTGATGGCGATACTTATCTGAAACTGAAATGGGTTTCTGAAAAAAAAAGTTTGCATTTAATGTTTAAGTCAGGATGAAAATGAGGTGGAGTTTTACAAGTACGAGGGAAAATGTGCATGAGTGTGAGTTAAAGCCACACTTATATAGAAGGGACAGTTACAATCGTCTTCTATTTGTTCGACATGAAGCGCAGATAGCCGTTGAATGTATATTAACGGTTCTAATGGAAAGAGAAATGTGCTCTTATGTGGCATCCATGAATGCATGTCAACTTGTACATCAGTAAGTGGCAAGCATAAAAAATTTTCCTCCCTAGTCCTTGCTATCGGGTTTGAAGCAAGGATTGTTGGTGTAGAATTCAGTAAGGTCTTCTTAAGGATTTGAACTCCTATGAGAAACTTCTGGTTGAGAAAGTGCTCCAAGGATAAGGCACTACATGGTGACGTTGAATGTAGTAGTTGCCATTTAATCAATAGTAGTCAATCATGGTGATACAGAGTCTTATCTCACTGGTCGGGGATGGATTTACTTTTTTGAGAATTCAAGATGACAAACTCATATGTTATTGAAAATATCATGAATAATCAGAGGCGCAAAAGGTTTCTAGGGGTTTTCAGTGTCAATTCAGGTGTAAGGTTGTCGATAAATTAATGTGGTTGTTCAAGCAATGGTCTTTGACCAAAAAAATATATGGTGAAGAAGGTGTCTTTAACAGTTCTAGAGTTTCCTACCAACTCTAAACATTACTCAAAGGTAGATGATAAGATTTTGGAAACCCGATCTATAGACATCGCTGAGCACAAGATAGAACTTGTGTGCCAAAATATGGAATCGTTATCATACTAACAAGTGACTATTCTAACGAGTGATAAGTACAACCATAATCAGTTTGATGTATATGGGCTCCCCATGTGTGAATATTTGTTTTTCCAATGTGGGTTACACTTCCCTTCTAAGGCTTTGAAGTTGGGGTTCTCAATCATATGGAAATTTTCCTCGCACAGTTGCATCCGATGAGTTAGAAATATGTAAATTCTTCCCATAACTAGTGTGAGTACAAGAAGAGATCACCCATGGTGGTTATGTTCTTTCACTTATTCCATGTAATGAGGATGTTATTTAACCCCCGACCAACCTCAAGGTTTATCTCTCTAAACACAGTCACAAGTATTTGGAGTGTTTATATACTCCTTCAATAACTTTGAGGATAAGTTCTTTATTGTCCCCTTCAACATTGATGCACCAGAAAATTTGTGGAATTTCTGCAGGACGCATTTGCGAATAAAGCATATAGGTAGTATGATTTAGAGAAACATGGAGGTAGCTTTGAGACCATTATCCATGATGATGAACACCTAGACTTTAATGGTTTAACTGGGTTCAAAGGATGTAAAACTTTGAGATCTCGATGAACCACTTTTTCATACACCTTGTCGTGTCTTGTTTGAATAATACTTGTTTCAATGGTTAGTAAGTACATAAAAATATTAAAAGGGTTAGAAAATAGTGTTGCAATTTCATTTAAGGCATGTTAATGAAGGAAAATCGTGATCCAAAATGCAACGGAAATTAAAACTTTCCCTTTAGAGATCCTTACTAATGAGCATGATCAGTGATATAAACGGTTACCTCTTGTGGTGATTAACAATTTTGTATGCAGATCCGGATGAATGATCACGAGCGTTGAATGAAGACTTTGAGTGAGAGAGAGAAAGAGAGAAATACGGCCAGGGTTTCACCAACTGAATTTCATCAAGTTCTAAAACTTCTACACAATGATTGTATTTATAGAACAACTTGTGTGGGCTGTAAGGTAAAAAGCCTAACTTAAGTGCAGCATATAATAATAGTATTATTATTATTATTATTATTATTATTATTATTATTATTATTATTATTATTATTATTATTATTATTATTATTATTATTATTATTATTATTATTATTATTATTATAATCATTATTATAATAAACATATTTTATTATTATTATTATATTATAATAAATATTATAATAATAACAATAATAATAATAATAACTCTTATTATTATATTATATGATATTCCATATTTCATTTAAGTACATTGTATCTTACGGTGTTCCATAATTCTCTCAAGTACATCGTACCTTACCGTGTTCCTTATTTATTATATTTCTCATCAATCTGTCCTTATTTGGGTGACCCTGTAGGTTCTCATGACGTTGACAATTGTATCAAATCATATATTTAATATAATAAACTGTGAGCGGTATCTAGCAACACATCACTGTTACCCAAGTCACAAAAATGTCATGTGATCTAACAAAACCATTTGTAATAGTACTTGTGTGTATAATTACCCTTTTGCCTTTATGTCTATATTGAACACAAGGCATATACCGTGTCATCCTTGTCCAGATCAATATTGGACCCTTAGACATTTATCATGTTATGTAGGATGTACAAATCTCATTTAGGTCACTCATGTCCCTCATCATGCTTTGTGGAGTATCCATCAATTGTTTTTATGGTCATCTAATTATGGACAATATTAGATAAGTAATAAAGTATTTGACTCTACATCTAGGATCCGTAGTGGTTTTAGGTTGAAGGGTGGTATACACCACTATCACCATGAGAGTAACTTATGAAACTTTGCATAACATTCTATGTAGTACTCTCATAGCGGGTCAATCCAGTATAAATATTACTCTTAATATTCATACATATGTTAAGACTTGATAACTCTTTATCCATGACCCATGAGATGTGATCATCAGTCTATCTACATAATAGTTTTAATGCTTTAAGATTATCCCACTTCACAGTAAAGCTCGACTACAGATACTTTAAGAATAGTGTCATTATGTTTAATGGAATCTCATGATTAAGTCACACTTAATATTTCATGAAACGAACTAGCTATTCTAGGGACTTTATTATTCTGGAAAAACAAACATAATAAAGTAATGCCTCTTATTATTAATAAATAATTCGATAGAAGTACCAAAATTAATGGCCTATAGGGCTTATACCAACAATCTCCCACTAGCACTAGAGCCAATCAAGCATACCCCTAATACCCATAGATCTAGTATGGCCATCATGCTTCTACTGTGCAAGAGGCTTTATTTTTGGGCCAGTAATATTTTCAAGTGTAGGTACTCTACATATCTTCACATATTCCTAGTCTATTATCTCTCAAACGAGGTGATAATGCCTAAGTATGTGTTTGGATCGTTGGTGAAATCTAGGTTCATTAGCTTGTGTTATAGCACCATGGTTTTCAATATAGAGATCAATGGGATCCACAATGTCAGGGACTATGCCAAGTTCACTAATGAACTTCTTGATTCAAACAACTTCCTTTGTTGCATTTGAGGCAGCAATGTACTCGACCTTAGTTGCAGAATCAACAACTGTTTCTTGCTTTGAACTTTTCCAGCTCGCAACGCCACCATTTAAGCATGACACATAACCAGATTGCTATCTGAAGTCATCCTTATCTGGCTGGAAGCTAGCATCGTTGTATCCAATTACAACAAGCTCTTTCTGACCTCCATATACCAAGAATGATTTCTTAGTCCTTCTTAAGTGCTTAAGGATATTTTTAACATTTACCCAATGAGCATCACTAGGATCAGATTGGTACCTACTCGTTGCACTTAAAGCATATGTGACATTTGGTGGAGTACATAACATAGCATACATGATAGATCCTATTACAGATGCATATGGAATCTTATTCATGTGATCATCTTCTTCCTTAGTTAAGGGGGGTTGAGTTTTTTATAGACACGGGCCATGTTGCATAGGTATGAATCCTTTCTTTGAATCATGCATATTAAAGCATATCATCACTTTGTCTATGTATGTACTCTGACTTAGGCCAAATAGTTTTTGTGATCTATCTCAATAGCTTCTGATTCTTAATATATAGGCTGCTTCACTAAGATCCTTCATAGAAAAGCATTTCCCTAACCAAGTTTTCACTTGTTGCAAGGTAGGGACATTGTTTCCAATGAGTAATATTTCATCTATATATAATACAAGGAAGACGATCATGCTCCCATTAACCTTCTTGTAGACATAAGCCTCATCTTTATTATTTATGAATCCATATTATTTTACAGTTTCATCAAAATGATAATTCCAGCTTCTGGAAGCTTTCTTCAACCCATAGATTGATCGTTGTAACTTGCATATCTTTTGGGTTTCTTCTGGCATGTCAAATCCTTCAGGTTGTGTGATGTACACGTCTTTAAGAAGATTCCCGTTAAGGAAATTAGTCTTGACATCCATCTGCCATATTTCATAATCATGACATGCAACGATAACAAGTGAAATTCAAACAGATTTAAGCATTATAAGTGGTGAAAAGGTATCATCATAGTCTACCCTATAAATTTCTTTATA